CTACAACACACGGTTGTCGCCGACGGTGGGACCATTTGGTCGGGGACCCCGCTGCGTCGATGACGGAGGAGGCAAGAGCAGCGGCGTCTGCTGGGCCTCGCTGTGGCTGCGGCTCGTCGACGGCGAGCTTTGCGCGCGATAACGTCTTCACTACACGACCTCGTGACCTAGCGAAGCGATTGAGCCACTTGGGCGGTCCTATTGCCAACCCTAGAGTCGACGGCGGCCACCATGGCGGAACGGCGGGGTGGACCACGGCAAACGCGCCCGGTGGCGACCTCGGTGGCCCGATCTAAGGCTCGGACGAGCACCGTGGTACTACTGGCGAACCTAGCGCACCCGGCTATCATGCGGAAAGGTAGACTACAGGCGTGGTACGATGACGGGACCACGGCGGCGAGCTCCGGCACAAAGCGCAAAGGCCGCTCACGGCTTACCGAGCTTGAACAATGGGCAATGGGGCGACGCGGGAGTTCTTTGGGGTGTCGGTGGTGCTATTGCGGTGGCGGAGGAGCAGCGAGGACGAGCTACCGTCGGCAATGGCGCTCGCGGCTCTGGTGCGGGAATGGCTGCGGCGGCGGCGAGGAAGAAGGCCGAGAAGCGAAAAATGGGCGTGGAGGGGTGTCGGTGGCGGATTTGGCGGGGGTTAAGGCCGTGCCAGCGCGGCGTGGCCTCTGTGATGATAGAGACCGGCGCGACGGCGCTGCGTTTCCGCATACGCTGCCATGATGTGTTGAAACCGGCCGCCATCGCCTTTGCCGGTCGATTCGACAATTCGTCGATCATGCGATCGATTCTGACGATGAGTTTTGACACTCCTTTAACCGCTAATCCGTAGCTTCAAATAAAACGATCTACATGGTTTTTGTAGCCGAAGTACCAGCTACAACTTTGGTTCAAGCACCTTGTTCTAATTCGCAAGAGACGGAGTAATATCGTGCTCAACATCGGTGTCGTCGATCGGTTAGTCGATCAACCACTTAGAAAATTTGCTAAGTGTGGGAAGCTGGATTTTTTCGGTTTTGTGGGACCCATTCAAGCATGTTAGAAGCTAAATCAGTCCATGACCCGAAAATAAAAGTTGTTCCTTATGTCAAACACTACAACTTTGCTTTAGTGAACTCCTCCATGCAAGGTCTCTAACACCTAGTTCAACTTTAGTCAAACATGTCACTTTGAAAACATGATACATACACAAACCATGGCTAAATGACCAAACTAGCCTTAGCACTAAATACCAAAGTTGTTCCTAATGATATCCTAAGCATGTTTAAACAATTTGCAAGGTCATTTAAGCATTTCATGTAGTAGTCACTCATATAGCTATTCAGGTCAACACATGAAATATCACTTAAGTGCTTGATCATGAAATGTGGCCTTCATGAACAAGGTTCCTTTTGTTAACCTAAGTGTAGCTAAGGTGTTTTAGTGACCAACATTACCCACTTGCATTCATTTGCACATGATCATATGCCTATGTTCCAAGAAACACGAGATAACAAGCAATGTTTCATATGTTTCGATCAAATGTTTCAATTGTAAGTGATGATTTATGAATGCTTGATGCTCATGCTCATGTTATGCGAGTCAAGTTATGCAAGGCTAACACCCGAGGTGTTACACCATCTTTATCAGCCCCAAGAAAAGAGAAGACTCCTCCTCCTCCATCTTCATCATCCCCGGGAAAATAGAATTCTCGTCGTCATCCTCCTCCTCCTCCACCTCAGCCCAAAATAAGATTAAAGGCATCCTCGTAGTCGCATAAAAGGTCCTTGGATTCAGTCGCTAATGCTCCCAAAGTGGACCAACAAAAAAAGAAAAAGGTCGATTCAGAAGGGCGTTACAAACTTGATGGAAGAAAATTTACAAAGACACATCTCGAAGGAAGATTGTGTTAGTTTCTTCAATCTCTGTGTGCCCTCACTTGTCTCCGTGTTTGTTGAAGTCCGAATTCGAAAGGCAAACATAGAATCAAGTATGCTATAATAAGAGCCTATTAAATACACAATGAAGATTTAAGTAAGATATGAATACGTCGAAGACAACCCGAATTAATCATGAAAGAGGCCGCGAACATCTATTATGATGTACAAGGGACGGGGAACACCGGCAATGAAGTATGAAAGGGCAATCTTTTAGTTCCCGATGACGAGTATAAAATTTGACAACATATATCGCCCAGTTGCATGAATATTATATGGCTCAAACAGCAGAGATGGAGGACTTTGGTTTTGAGGTTATTATTAGATTCGCCACATATTTTCATTATCCTGAAGAAGAGAAGTTCAATGTTGAGTGAGAGTGCTTATTCCAGCTATACCAGAAACACTATCTCGATTTACAAATGTTGACGTTGTGGACTATGTAAGTACCCTACACGCACGATATTATAATTAACTACTCTCTAGAGACATAAATTGTTAACTTTTGACCAATTCCCATGATTTTATGTAGGTGTATAGCAAAATTTTGCATACTAAAAAGCAAATATGATAACATAGGCTTCTTGGACCACTTATGAGTCAATGAGAAGACATATTTAGGCCTTCATGGATGTGACGTGGAAGACTTGAAAGAGAGATTGATTGATGTTTTCGATGAATTCAAGATGAAGAACAAAACCCACATACTTCTAGCCTACAACTGCAAGTATGTGTTCTCGGCTTTTAATTTTATGCTTCTTTTTTCGTTAAGATTATTCGATAATTAGGATTATGTGATTGCAGCAACCATTTCGTCTTCATTTGTGTCAATCTTGCTAAAAATCTGATCGAGGTGTGGGACTCGAAGAAAAAACCATTTCATCATCTGGATGCACTTTGGTGGCAGTGCTGAATTAGTAAGCGATCATAATAACATATTATTTTCTAGTCACACATACCGCTTTCTAATGTTTCTTTTAATGTTGTACAGTGTCCGAAGAAGACATATCGGTGGGACGTAGGTCCCATTTAAGGTTGTCGAAATAGAGGGGAAGTACCTAAAACAGCCGGCGGGAAACAATGAATACGGGTTTTATGTATTGTGGGCAATACTTAGCTACATCAATGGGGAATCGGAAGAAGCGAGATAAGTTGGTGTGTATAATCCCCATTTCGTTTATGTCTCATTAATAATTCAACAAAATAATTTACTGATTCTTGTTTGAATATCATCTTTTTGAACGAGAGCGCAAGAAATATAACCACGAAAGATTGTTGGACATGGAGATCGTCGCACTGCAATCGGAGCTGCAAAATTCATCTTAGCCGAGGTATTGAAAAAAGATGGAGTATTTTCCATCGCACAATCCGTGAAGTTCAAAGACCAGTATGGCCCAGAGCGGCTCGCTACATTATTGTAAGAACTCTGAGAAGCATGCTTCATCTTATCGAATAATTTCTTTTTTATTTTTAGGGATCGAGATCTTGATAAGAACATTTGAATTGTAACCGTAACATTTGTAATGTTTAATATTGATGGACCCGTGCTCACGTAAGCGTATATAAAGCGAAACTCGATTCCATGAAAAAATATAAATTAAGATAAATTATAAAACAATAAAATGCGACGGACCATCATCGCTTGCCGGTTAACAACAAACCGGCAGAAGGTTGTCATAACCATCATCGCCGGTTAGAAACAAACCGACAGCGGTGTTGTCAGTAACCTTCACTTCGCCGGTTAGCGACAAACCTGCAAAGTGATGGTTAAGATGGCACTGCCGGCTTGAGCCACAAACCGGCAGCGTTAGCTTATCCATCACTGCCAGTTCTTGTCACAAACCGACAGTGCTCGTTATGACAACACTGCCAGTTAAAATACAAACCGGACAGTGTTTGTAGAAGTGAACTCTGTCGGGTGGTCTAATGAACTGACAGTGTTGGTGGACCTGAACTCTGTCGGTTGTGTAAAGAACCGACAGTGAAATTGAAGAACACTGCCGGTTTGTAGGAACCGACAGTGATAACTGACTCTCATCACTGCCGGTATGGTTGTGTCAATTTGAAATCCGATAGTGATGAGATGTTTTAAACCGACAGTAAAGTGCCTCTAGCTCTGAAGCTGGGCTACGGTCAACTTATTTTGCACCATATGTCAAGCATCAACGTATCCATAATCTAATAATCACCTCTTGTGTATTTGGCCCCTCCATGAGTTAGGCCAGGCTCCGCCGCTGCATCAATCTGCCAGCTAGACCCATACAGTTCTATGTTTGCACGCCCGATCCTGGCGTGCCCCCCCCGAGCGCCCGCAGGCTGCCTGCAGGCCTCACCGTTTGCTTACTAATAATATATAATATATATATTATTTATGCTTTTCTTTTCTTTATTCTTCTTTTTTTTTTTTTTATTTCATATATACTCAAAATATAAAACCATATATAAACATACAACTCCAAATATCGCAACAAGTCAGATGGACAAGTGTATTTTAGACAATTGACTTTTAATCAGGGAAGCTGTTGCCAAACTGTTTTATTCGTTACCGACGAAGCTGCTCAAGGAGTTGAAATAAAAAAAAAAGGCACCTCACTAGTGAAGCTAAGCTGTATCTAACGAGGCCGTCGTCTAGCTAATTAAACTATGATTAACAATGATGAATTTATCTCCAGTTTTATTTTTAGTTAAGCATGAAATTTTGACTTGATGAAAAACAAAATACTTCTTTTGTCGCAATATATGATTAGGTGGGTGCAAAAGAAAATAAGAGCAGATTTGACTTCTTTGTTACTGGGTGCGGTTACGCGGTCTTTTATCTCAATCCAGCAAGGTCCTGCGTCACTGCTCACGTTACCGCAGTCTCGCATACGCAGTTTGGAACCCGGGGGCCTTCTAGCTCCGTCGTGAGACCTCGACGCCACGCCGTGCCAGTGCCACCAACTACCAAGCAGCATCGGCACCAACTACCCAGCGCCCACACACCCCAGCTACCACGCCTCAGCAGACGAGACAAGCACATCCGAACGCCCTTTGGCAATTGGCATCTATCGTCGCAGCATAGCATACAGAGCGAAAGCAATGGCGCCGGTGAAGGTGTTCGGGTCGGCGAGGTCGACGAACGTGGCGCGGGTGCTGGTGTGCCTTGAGGAGGTGGGCGCCGAATACGAGGTCGTCAACATCGACTTCCAGGCCAAGGAGCACAAGAGTCCCGAGCACCTCGCCAGAAACGTAAGTACAGCATCATCCTGCCATTTCACCGCATCTGTCTCTCTCTCTCTCTCTCTCGGTCGTCTCCATGAAGGGTAGAGAAGCAGCTGACTAAGTGAGAGCTGTTGTTCCCTTGCAGCCGTTTGGCCAAATCCCGGCGTTCCAGGACGGTGATGTCGTGCTCTTCGGTACAGTCCTTTTACTACCAGTCCATGTCTATGTCTTTGTATCCTCCACTCTCAAGTCTTCTTGATTCGCCGTATCATGTTTGTTTTCAGAGTCCCGGGCGATCTCAAAGTTCATCCTCCGGAAGTACAAGTCCGCCGAGGCCGACCTCCTGCGCGAAGGCGACCTCGAGGAGGCCGCCATGGTGGACGTGTGGACGGAAGTGGAGGCGCACCAGTACAACCCGGCGCTCTCGCCCGTGGTGTACGAGTGTCTCGTCTACCCGGCCACGCGCGGCGTCCCCACCAACCAGAAGGTTGTGGACGAGAGCCTGGAGAAGCTCAGCAAGGTGCTCGACGTCTACGAGGCGCGCCTGTCCAAGCACACCTACCTGGCCGGGGACTTCGTCAGCTTCGCGGACCTGAATCACTTCCCTTTCACCTTCTACTTCATGGCGACGCCGCACGCCTTGCTCTTCGACTCGTACCCGCACGTCAAGGCGTGGTGGGGAGAGGCTCATGGCGAGGCCGTCCATGAAGAAGCTCGGCGCCAGCATGGCTGCTGCTGCCGGTATCAAGGCTTGAGCGAACGGGCAAACGTTGGCGATTTCTGTGTTGCGTTGCTCATAATAATAATGTAAGCGGCAGCTAGCTTTGTGTGCGCTTCGTTGTTGTACCACTGCACGATTGTGCAATCTTGTTCAATCGCGTCTTGTTTGGATTATCCTGCCCTACTATATGGAATGTTCAGATTTATTTACTACGTACACTAGTTTTTCTTCAATTCTTCTCGGAAACACGAAGGAAAATTACGGAGAAACGGAAAAATCTCTCGAACAGACATGATTTGGGCATCAACTAATTTTCTGGAATAGCTACTCATGGCACTACACCACAACCCTAAAATACCGTCTAACGTCTATTCCTAAAACTTAACAATTACCGTTGAACGGTGAGTCGAGTACTGCCATGGATGGTCCGTTGCTATAAATATTTTGCTTTTGCGTTGTATCGTCAGTCGCTATATATCAGTAACTGAGTCAGATCGTCCGTCGCTAAGTACAATTACTATTGGTGCGATATTTTCAGCTTGTTCCTGCAAAACATTTGACCCAGAAGTCACATTTAAATCCTAAGTCACCGCACCAAGCTAGCCTAGCAAGACCAAATACACAGCCTCTTACTCTCTGCTCCCGCTGCCCCTCCACATGCGCGCCGCCTGCTCCACACCCCTGAAACGATCCACAATTTCTTCGAAGGGAAATTCACAGAATACATCATAATGTGATAGTCCAGGAAGACGAAGCTATCACATTATCATTATTCAGTTGATACCATCTAGAAAACCACAAATTTCTCTATTTTTCTAGACCACGAAATGAGACATGCTAGTGATGAAACATGAGAGGCTGAAGTTGCTAACCTTTAGAACCGAAAAATGGATGGAGGAATCGAGTGAAGTCTTGAAATGGCGGCTAGAGACGAGCAAGAACAGAGAGCTTGAAATGGCTAGGGCTAGGGAGGAAGAAGGAGAAAGTATATAACCCGGAATCTGTAGTCCCGATTTGTGGTTCAAACCCGGACTACATGTGGACTTCTATTCCCGATTGGAGCCATCAACTGGGATTAAAGGTTTAGTCACGGCTAGTAGCTCCAACCGGGACTAGAGGGTGACCTTTAGTCCCGGTTTGAACCACCAACCGGGACTAGAGGTTCCCTCCTGCAAAAGTCCGTAGCTCTAGCCGTTGAGCAAGGGACTAATCCTACCTTTAGTCCCGGGCCAAAAAATGGCTGGGACTAAAGTCAACAATCAAAAGTCTGTTCTCTAGTAGTGTAACCGCTGCTGTAACCGGTGCTCTCTAAGTCGTGGTCCCTAGAATTTCTGGTCCAATGACCTAGTGCTTGTTGTTTCGTCCATGTCTTGCGAGTTTGAGTTCCATTTTGAAAGGTCCTAATGGTTATAGGGGGTTGAATAGCCTATTAAAAAATTCTACAATAACACTTAATAAACCGGTTAGATAAATATGAGGTGAAGCGAATCTTGCGCTAGCCTACTAAAAATACAAGCCACCTACCACAATTCTAGTATCTATAGTCTCTATCACACAATGACTATGCCACTATACTAAGTTAGTGAGCTCTAAAAGACTAACTAAAGAGCCTCACTAACCAATAGATCCGACACAAGCTTGCTCTTACGACTAACTACACTAAAGAGCGAAGCAACACTAGAAATGTAAATACAAGAGAGGATGGTGATGATTATACCGATGTGTCAAGGTATGAGCCAATCACAAGATGAAGCCAATCAATCAATAACAAGATAACCAATAAAATTCTCGAGCAAGATGACATAGGATTTTTTACCGATGTTCACTTGCTTGCCAGCAAGCTAGTCCTCATTGTGGCGATTCACCCACTTAGAGGTCCACGCGCTAATTGGCATCACACGCCAAACTCGCAATCGGGTGCCGCACAACCAACACAAGATGGGGATCACACAAGCCACGAGAAATCCACTAGAGTTGCCTTTGGCGCTTCACCGGGGAAGGCACAAGAACCCCTTACAATCACAATGATCGAAACCGGAGAGGATCACCTTCCTCCGCTCGACGATCCACCAATCACTGAGCCGTCTAGGTGTTGGCAAACACCAAGAGTAACAAGGTCTCCACCAGCCCAATTCGTCCAACTAGTGCCACAAGATGCTAGATGACTAAGCAATGCACTAGAGGCTCTCCAATTTCACTCAAGATGATCAAATCAAGTGTGCAAGTGAGTGGAGTGGTGTGCTTAGCTCTCAAAGGGTGTATGCAGCTGTTAGAAGTGCCAAGAGAGTGGCCAAGGCCGGCCACTAGCTCTATTTATAAGCCCATAAGCAAATAGAGCCGTTACCCTTTGGAGCGACTTTTCACGAGGTCACCGAACACGGTGGTGCAATCACCCGGACGGGGGTGGCGGTGACCCTCCAACGTCATCTAGCCATTGGGGCATCGGACTGAGCGTGAAAGGCACAGGGCATGGGGGTGGGCGTGGGGGTATAACCCCCGATACCCACAAGGTTGTACTTGGGCCAAGCTAACAGGGGAGGCCTAGCTCACAAGTTTACGCCACGCGGAGCATGGCATAGGTCGGCGTGCCTCGCAAGACTGCGTGAAGATCCTTGCCAATCAAGTATGATCTTTTAAGATATGCTATATTCCGCAATCTCTGTAATTCCTATCTTGTAAACCAATCAGGATAGAAACAACCGACATGTAACCCTACCCCCCGGGCTATATAAGGCGGGTAGGGACCCCCTTCGTTTTCATCTAATCTCTCATGATACAATCCATAAAGACACATGACGTATGTTATTATGTTAAGTTGATGGCCTAAACCTGCCTAATCGCTGTCTCTTGCGTTCTGTGTCACCATCTGATTCCCTCATGTGCACCTCCACCGATTCATCTACTACCGTGGGCACACCCCTCGGTAGACTGCCAAACGTATTTCATCGATAATGGTGTGCTAGGTAGGGGGTGTGCGTGCTGAATCCATGGCACGCCAGATGGTCCGCTTTCCAAGCTCCATGGCCCTTCTCGAGTCGGCTAGATCTTCACGGTCGGATCCATGACCTGGGTCATCGGCCCCGACGATAGTGGGGAGATCATGGAGGCAGCGTAGGATCCCCCTACGCCGATCGTGCCAACACCTGCAATAACATCTCCAATCCAAATAGCCCCTCTGCTAGGTTAGGAGATCCATCAATAATGATGATCCGATCACATCCATCGATCGGTCACAAAGCGACTAACGTAATGCCGGCTCCTCGTGGATTCGGTCTTAGATCAATCTAGAGTGAGCGATGAATTCCCTACACTCCAAGATCACCAAGCCTCGCAACCAGGTGACCTACTTGGCCACATCGTTTGAGGCGCCCGATTCTATCTGGTGATCACGGTCACTCGGAGGGCGCGCGCGGCGCGGTGCCGACCACTTCACGCTACCGCCCACGCTTGGTTGATTACAAGGCCCCGATGGAGAACCTACCAAAGCCCTATCCCTTTGGGCTAGAGGGTGCAGGATCCATGTACAAGAATGCCATCAACCACCTCTTTGCCGACCACGTCAAGCGCGATTGCATCACCGACCTCTACATGATTGATCTAACTAAGTCTGATCAACCTGCGCCCGTGGTCAATATGGTGGCCATTCGCCGACTTACAGATGACTCCTCCACGATGTTCTAGAGGAGAGCCACGATGATTACCCGAGGGCTCAACCAAGACTACATTGACCGCCCTACTTTCCCTCCGGGTTTGGGGGCATGATTTTCCACGTCAGCCATGATAGCGCCACCAGGGATGGCAAAACCTCCGATGAGCACAACGCTCGCCTGGCGAAGAACACCGATTGCCAACATCACTGAGACACAGAGATGGCCCATGGGAGCGACATGGATGGACATGGCCCACCGTGCTGGGGGTGTAATCTAGAGAAGGAGTTCGACATGGTGGGCGACCAGCCGGTCCACCAGACCCCAAGCGCCAATCTCGCCGTTGCTTTCAACGAGCTCAAGAAACTTCCTCAAACTCCAGAGGCCGAGAAGGTTTGAGCGCATATCATAGCAGCTCAAGTTCAGGTCAACAAGTTCTGAAACCCTGACCCATCTTATTCGACCGTGTCGGCTCATAGCCGCCACTCCCGCCGCGATGGAGGAAGTTAACATCAAGGCGTCGAGCACTCCCGGCACCAATGCGATGGCCCCTACCTCTATAGAGGCTCCAGGGGCAACTACAAAGGACATTCATGCCAAGACGGGCACCCTTCGCACCTCCGAAGCGGCCGGTGGCAACCGCGATGCCAATTAGGAGGTCAATCAACCCCACATGATGCTCGTGAGCTCATCAACGCCAATCTCGATGCACGGGTCACATCAAGAACAGCGAGTCCACATGGTATGAGGCAAAGATGGAGCACTGGTGGAAGTTCGATGAAGAGCATGTTGCACCTGTTACACCACGAGCACCACCCATCGCCCCTTGTCGGCTCTGGACTCGACCCTTCATGGTGAGGCTCCAGCCAGCCGTCCGATGGCTTGCGGGCTTCAAGATCATCCGGGGTGAACACCTACAACAACAAGGCAAACCCGCCCGGTGGCTAACTCTCTATGAGACCGCCGTGAGAGCTGCGGGTGGAAGTGAAGACATCATGGCAAACTACTTGCTTGTCATGCTTAACGGTCTCATGAACAACCGGCTTCTCACCTATGGGAGAACTCCATCCGATCTTGGGGGACGAGCTCAAAAGGGTCTTCATCGAGAACTACATGGCTGTCTTGCAGCAACCTGACACCAAGTATGATCTGGAGAAGCTTCACCAAACCTTCGAAGAGTCCCTACATAACTTCATTAGGCACTTCTCAAAGATAAGGAACTCCATGCCCAACATCAGCGATGCCAAGGCCATCGCTGCTTTCACCAAAGGGCTACAGCACGAGCAGCTCCGTGGAAAGTTGTATCGCAAGAGGCCCACAACCATCGGTGCATCGATACAAATTGCAAACGCTATGCCGATGCCGAGGAAGCTTAACGGGCTGCCCATCCCGATTACCCACTCACGCCGGCGGACGACGATCGCCGCAAGGAGAGACGCTATG